GTTAATTTGCATATCTGACGTGACATTTGTATTTTTTGTTTCAAGTATTTAATTTTTGTCTTTATGTTGGGAGATACGTATTTCTACAAGAGAACGTTGTTATAAAGTTTCATTTATGTTAACAGCGAATACAACAGAAAATGGTGAACTCCTTGATCTCAATTTTTCAGCTCTGTTAGCCGTCCAATCGAGCATCATACAAAATTCAATTTGCACCTTCTCGTTTTTCTAAGTTCTCTGGTCCAACTGCGGGCAAGCGTGTGAATTGTCAAAACCTAATGGCACAAACAGTTACCGACGCAAAACCGTGGACCGAATCAGCTGATACGACCTATCTTATGAGAGCGCAATGTAAATGAAAAATCACCACCGCTTCTACCGTCTGCTTCAACAGACCGTGCGGTAGAATATCCGCGTAAATTGGATTTTCTTCGTAGAAACGAGTGAGCTGAGAGAGAGAGAGAGAGCAATCTCTTGCAACGCAGGGTTCCCAATCTCGATATTTTGTAGTAATTAAGAAATTAACTTGAATATATTTGAAATATTTTTAAAATACCTCAAAATCACAGTCGAATACACTTATTAAAGGCAAACTATTTTTAATAGTTGGATTTTAGTTTTGAGTTGTTACATTATCAAAAATAATAACTAAAAAACTAAATGTGTGAAAATTCGTGCATACAAATAGATCATCCAATGGCAACATTGGTGAAATGAAAACAAAAGAGAACAACCGATTTCTGCGTTGCAACTACGGCATAACTTTTGACAAATTTGGTTTGATGCGGGCCAGGGATAATGGGATGCCCAACTCTTTCCAGTGTGAGAGCGCCTCAAAATTAGCGTTTTTTACAACACTTTCCATTGTAGATTTTCATTGTTTTCCAATTTTGTTAGTGATCTGCAACAGCAGCACAAATCTCTCTGTTTATATATTTTTCTGTAGGATTTTAATCTGGCCGTCCCTCTTTTTCCAATTACTAAACGTCAGACCTACTGAACTTTGACAGTTGCTTGAGTTCAGTAGGTTTTGACGTTTATCAATTGCGCTCTCATTTCCAGTGAGAGACGAGTTGGGCATCTCTTTATCTCTGATGCGGGCGGTAGGTACGGAAGGGAGGAATGTGCGTACTGCTCTATATGTGCATATAACAAACCTACATGCATATATGCATTATCGAAAATATTTTTCCGTGGCAACACAATGCTTTGTCGTCGCGTCAGTCCTTCGACACATTGACTCTTGGCCGTTTCAACGGAGATTTCACATGAAGCAATGAGTGTACATACTTACATACTAAGTCGTATGTAGACAAATTTACAAACATTATGCGCATGGTTCTTTCATATTTGTTTACATGCATACATAATAATACATATGTATATGTATGAGTATATGTGACCTGGCCTTTTTTCCAGCATGTTATCAAACTTAATGTACCAAAGCAAATAAATATCTAAATACAACATGAACCGAGTATATATCTAATCAACATGAACGAGTAACGCATCATAATAATACATATGTAGTATGTATGAGTATATGTTGACCTGGCCTTTTTTAGATATTATCAAAACCTTTATGACCAAGCAAATAAATATCTAACTACAACATGAAACGAGTTATTTTAGATTATTATAAAGTGATTGGTCGTTTGCCGCATTTTAATAAACAATCTGTAAGAGAACAGTATCTTAGCATTGGAATTAGCTTTTTTTCTCATTTAAACACTGGAAAATATCATTCTACTTTTTTTTGAGTTAATTGTGATGAAACACGCCAACACGCCCAAAAATTGAAATATTATAATAATGACCGCACCGTGGACCTTCTCTATAATATACGTTCTCTGCCCGCGGTACACATCACAAAACTTCACCAGTCCACAAACTGGGGCACCCTAGTATGTACTACTATGTACCACACTACACAAGATATCAGCACAAAAGACCGCCAGCTAACATAAAGGATGGTCCCCCAGCGGATTCAACACATTTGCTTCGTTTAGAGCCTGAGCGATACATCAACCTTTCATATTCACTTATACATCTGATTACGGCAACGAAACTGCGCGCCATTTCCTTCGTCATATACCATTCGCCACATCACAAATTCGATACAGTGATCCTGTGCTAATGGTTGAAACAGCGTATTTCGTTATATCAAACGGATTAGGTTTCATATGCAACCTTATAGCTTTTGCTACATAAACTCCTACCCTCTTAAGTTCGATCGATTAGAAAGGAAGTAGGTTGATGGGTCTAATGTTTTCTTGATGTTGATTTTCTCCTTCGATTGTGCTTGTTGCCAAACACTGCTAACCGCTTAGATAATCAATGCGTTTTGTATTGTTGATGTGCAACTCGTTTAGAGCTTTCAACGACAATATGTTTATTCGTTTACTCTCAGATGGGGATAACTAATGGAACTGTTGCTAATCTGAGTGACGGTATCTCAATGTAGCGAAAATATTGATTGTTTATTTTAAGTGTTGTATTGTGGAACTTTATAAGAAAGGAACCAACAATTTTGTGGTCTTCTAGTTCTTTCTACGGGTGGTCCTTTCTCTATGATGGTTCAAACTGTGCGCGTTGAAAATCATTTAAGATAGTAGGGCGCTCTAGTATCTTTCTATCGTTGGTATGTCGTGACCGCTTTCTGCATGGGTAACACGACGAATTCAGCCTTTTTATCTAATCTAGATATACAATTATCATTACTTATATCTCTATTTGATCTCTTTTACATATCTTGGAAAAACTATATCGGTACATTTCGTTTTAATGCAAAGCCTTTACGTCCATTTGGTCAAATTTGCATAAAATTTTAATGGTAAAAGTTTTATTTATCCTTTTACAGGTTTTTAAAAATTGGTTGTAATTTTCTTTTTGTGATAATGTATTTTAACTGATCTATAGTAAACGTGGTTGCGTTAGTTAAATGTTCACATTGGCATACTCTAGTGCTTTCTTCTACGGTGACGAATGGCAGTATTCTCTTCTTGGAAGATTTAAACTGATTTTTTATTTGTTTTTATGTTATGTAAGCAACATTGACTTAGGCAATTTTAATAAACGGATTTTTGTCTTTAATTTTATTTCTTACTTCCAATACTTAAGGCTAATTCGTTTCGATAACTATTATCTTCTTAATTATCATTAGATATTCATTGTTGTTATTAAATTAATTGAATATTTTATTAAATGTTTTCGGTATGAATTTGTTTGTTGTTTTATTATTTTTGTGTTAATATGGTTAGCGTTATATACAACAGTCACTATCTGACTACCGGCGAAATATCATAGCGATTTTCCTGCCGGTCCCATAGAAATTAATTGCCTGTTACTTCGAATTTGCATTGGTTTTAATGTTGTTTAGAATTTCACGGCGTGCGGTGATTTACTTTTCGTGAGTTTAAAGAGAATTGGTAAGATATCTTTCTGGTATTTTCCTGTCCAGGTTGATTTGAGCGGTTGTTTAATTATGGCTTAAGTTGTTTTGGATTTTCGTCTCTATTTTCTGTGTGGCGACGTTTATGTTCTTGTCTAATGATTCGTTGGTTTCGTTTTGATGTTTTTGTTCGTTAATGTATCCGACGGTGGTTCCTTTGAGTATATACCGCAGTTTTATAATTAAAGAACTGAAATTGGGTATATTTCGTTTGAATTATTCATTATTTTTCGGAAGTAAATATAACCGGTTTGTTACCGAGGGACTTTACGCGTAACTTCGCGTTAAAGTGAAGTTTTTTCTGAAGGAAACTGTTGTTTAATTATTGATGTCTTATTGGTATGTCCGAATGGTATTTTAACATTGGTACTATCTTCGTCTACTAATGAGTGGAGCTGTCATCCTGAATGTGTGGCTACTGATAAAGAATCTTCAATTTTAAAAGGTCTTAAAGGGAT